TCGGACCTCCCGACTGGCCACAAGCACATTTTCAAGGCTTGCCCCAACGCGTTCGCTGCTCCGTACCCTCCGGGGGGCCCCCGGGGGGCCCCCGGGGGCCCCCCGGGGGCCCCCCGAAGGGTACGAAGCAGCAAACGCGTTGCGGCAACCCTTGAAAATGTCCTTTTGGCCAGTCTGGAGGTCCCAGCGGAGAATGCAGCAGTCCTTGCCTCCGGTGTATGCACACCTGGGGGGCCCCCCCAGGCCCGGCAAAGCCACTGATGTCACTGGCAGTTTATGTCCTTTGAAAAATCCCAAGTCCCGCAGACACAGCCCCTGGGCCACGCAGCGAAATGAGGCCTGCATGCGCGCACACATCCTAAACCCTAAACCCTAAACCCTAGGCCCTAAACCCTAAACCCTAAACCCTAAACCCGAAATCCTAAATCCTAGAGGTTGAAGGGTGATCAGAAGAAGGTTGGAACAAAAGGGAAAGATATGGAAGAAGGGAAAGAAGAGAGAAATGCAAAAGGTGAAATTAAGTGCAGAAAATAAAATCAAGTGGAGCAAAAGAAGACCACAATGGAAAAAGAAAAAGAATAAAAAAGAATCTGAGACTAAGATTTACACAAAAACAAAAGACAAAAAAACCGAAAAAGCAAACAGGCCAGAGAAGCAGCAAAAGAGAAAAACTTCGCTGCCAGCAGCAGCAGCTCGCACCTTTTGCTGCTGCTTGCGGCTCTTGAGGGTCTCCACCAACTTCTCCTTTTCTGTCTCCGAATCAAAAAGGTCTTCTTCTTCTGAGTCTTCGGGGGGCCCCCGGGGCCCCTCGCTCTCGCTGCTGCTGCTGCTGCTGCTGGCAGAGCCAAAGGCCGGGTCTGCTTCAAGTCCCTGGGACTCCGTCGAAAATCCCGCAAAGTCCTTTTCCCGCGGCTGCCCAGCAGCAGCACCAGCAGCAGCAGCAGCAGACAGCTCCCGCAGATACGCCCGAGCCACCCGCAGCCGCGCCTCGTCCGCTGTTTCCCCTGCTGCTGCACCTGCATGCGCAACACGCAGAAGAAGACCCCGGGTTCGCGCGTCTGCTGCGCCTCCACGCGCTGCTGCTGCTGCTGCTGCTGCAGCAGAAACGTGCGAAGCGGAAACTCGAGAAAACGCCGCTTCATGCACGGGGGATGACACGAAAGATAGGCACAGAGCGGCAAGGAGACGCTTTTGTACGCAGCAACTCAAGAAGTGCACGGAAACTCGCACAACACTCCCGCGCAGTTGCTGCAGCAGCAGCTGCTGCTGCAGCTGCTGCTGCAGTTGCAGCAGCGCAAGATTCAGCTTTTGGCCGCGGCGGCGACCGCGGGGCCGCCGCGGGGCGACGGGCCCGTTGCTGCTGCTGATCTGCAGCTCTCACCGTCTTCAGACTCGCTGTCAGTCTGAGGGGGGCTTTCCACGCCAGAGGCAGAGTCCGATTCAATATTTTCGTCTTCGAATCGCGGGCGCTTGCGGGCGGCGGCGGGGGGGCCGCTGGGATCTTCGCCGCGGCCATCAGCGCCCCCGCGGCTTCTCTTTGCTGCAGATGAAGATGAAGAATGCAAAAAGCGAGAAGATCGCCGGGTGTCGGGCCCGGCGGGCCGCAGCCGCCGTCTGGTGTTCATGTTGGCTGCGGCGGTCGATTCAGATTCTGCTGCGGCTGTCTGTCAGTCGCGCGGACTCCCCTTCTGCGCGATGCATTTATTCACTTTTCATTTCAAAATCCAAAAATAAAACTTATTTCACTGGGGGGTTATCCGCAAGGGCTTCTCGCGGGCTGCTGGCTCTCGATTTCGCCGCTGGCTCCCTTGCAAACGCGCATGCAGAGCTTCCTGCGGCTTAAACTCAATCCATCTGCTGCTCCCCCGCATTTTATGTTTTGCAATTCATTTAATTTAGGTCATTTTCACTGTGTTTGCACACAGCAGCATCGCAATTGCCGGGAGTTTCCTCCTCAGGTGCCGCCCCACAGGCGGACGTTCCCGGAGTCTTTAGGCTTTCTCACCGAACCACCGCTTAAAAGCAGCATTAAATGCATGCAGAGCTGCATTCTATAATGCTGGACTATAGAGAAAGCTTCTACATAAACGCAGAGCAGGACTTTTCGAACTGCGCAGACGTTAGTACTGCAAACAATTAAGTTGATTTCAAAAGGCACAAACTGCGTGCTGTGCAGCAAAGTATACTGAACTTGAAAGCTGTGCTGCGCTCTATAGCCTTCTTTGTGGCTTTGAGCTGCGATATAAATTCCGAAGACTTGCCTTTAACCTGGTGGGCCCTAGCATGGCCTCTTATACTTTTTTGTTGTACAATGGCAGTAAACTTCGCCACCAGAACCTACATATCGGCGCTTCATGTTGTCCAAAGTACGCAGTTGCTGCTGCAGATGCCCCGCATCATTTTAAAGTTTCCCAAAAGGACTTAAAGTAGATCTGCTCCAAAGGCCAATGATGTCCATGAATTGTTCTGTAAACATTTACTTTTAAGTTGCCCTTAAGTTCCATCGAGCACCTGCTACAGAGTACTGAAAACATTTCCCTTTGATGGGGGTCACAAGGCCTGTTCCGATTGGTAATCTAAGCATCGAGACAGCTCACATATTGCAGTAAAAGCGAAAAGCTCAAATATTGCATTAGAATGAAAGAAGGCGAGAGTCCCGCGTTAAAAGTGCAAGATAGCTCAAGTAATGCATGAAAAAGTCGGCAACTCTTTCGAATAAGTGCTTAATTGGGGTTAATCCTCACGGATACGCCTGAGACCCCAAGACCCTCTTGTGCACTGTGGCTCATGAAAGTGGCTTCTTTTCTTCCCTTTGGAACAAACTATTTACATATATGGACAAACTAGCAAAAACTGTTCCAAAGAGATGTTGCTGATAGGGCTAATAGGCTCTGCGAGGCCTGCAGGCGAATGCTTGGGGCAGGAAGACACCTAAACTCATTTAATGTTCAGGTGTACAGACAAGTCCCCAAATGCTCTTTTAATTCGATTTCTCTGAGTGCAGAGTTTCGCAAACCAATAGAGCACGAAAACTGCATTTGACTTGAACTAGATGCCCGAATACCAGTGCTGAGTTATGCTTGCATTCCCTCTAGAGCTCCCACATTTTGTACAACAAATTCATTTAGTAATTTCAAAGGGCTCCTTTTTCACACCAAGTGCATTTGATAACGCAAAGCTCGCTTGCTGACCCTGACTTCAATGAAAAATTGTCTAACCTTTGAGTAGCAGCTCCAGAGTAACTTGTCTTCTTTGGTAAGACAAGAGAAGAACTGGCAGCACTCAAGACCAAACAGCATGAATAAACTTTAAAAGTATTGCCGTTTACACTGAGCTGCGTGGCGTTGATAAAACAAATGCTGCCTCGTGCGAGCAGCAAAACGCCAGATCTTGTTGTGCCCTCAGCAGTATCTTCCAGAAGAAGTGGAAGTGATCTGGCCCATCCATTTTACTTCCCCAAATAGGGCCTTATATCAATTTTCCAAATAGAGCCAGCGGGTTGAAATCTTCTGTGCTTTAGGAGTTTGCAGAACCTGAATTCTGCGACCGCATATCTTGCCTGGCAGAAAGGAGCCGCTAGTTGAGAGAAAAGTACTTATACGCGTTTATGTATTCCTTGATTGAGGAAAGATTCACAGTGAAATGCCTATCGAATTCGAAAATTAGTATTCAGCAATCTAACAAACGAGAGTTTTGTCTAAGCAGCCGACAAGGAGCAAAAGAAACCCAGCGCAGCTCTGTTGCTGGACTCTGCCGTTTCTGCGGTGAAGCCTTGTTGCCTAAACGACGCGCAATACAGCCAGCGCCACTGAGCAGTCTCATGTTGGTCCAATTGAGCTTCTTTGTTGTATTTTAAAGGCTTCAGGAACACTCAGTGGCCCTTAATCCTTTACAGTATTCAACTGTCACTGTGTATCTTGTCGTTGTTGGCATACTTAGTGTTTATAAAACGCAGTCGTTGCACGCAACACCTCAACTACGTGAATAGACCAACCTCCTGATTCTGTGTACTGCACAGCTGCTGCTGCCCCTTCGCTCTGCGCCGCTTTTTAGGAAATAAGTGCCTTGTAGAAATAAACATGAGTGTGCTTCAGCCACGGGGAGGTGTCCGGAAAATGTTTTCTCTTCATAGGGCGGGATCTGTCACTTCAGCTCTGGAGAAAGTAAATGTTTCGGAAAAAGCAGAAACTGCGAGGAGATAATAGTAATAGGAGCGTTTTTCAAGGTTTTTCATTTGTGCTTGGCCACTTTCTATCCGCTTTTGCAACACAAAAATGTACCAGGCGATGGACGCCAAAAGAACTACGCAAACCCAAAATTTTAGAGAAGAACTGAAACAAGCCCGCTCATTGGACATTAGCCACCTTACTGAGCGGTACATGGAGAGCTAGATAATGTAGAATGTTTTTATGATTTTTGCGAGCTTAGCTAACCATGGACTTAGGGGAAACGCCACAAGGTTGAGCCCTAAAAGACCATCAACTCTGGTTTTAGAAGCGCGAAAGGCACCTTTTGATGCAATTAATGACCCCTATAGGAGGATATAAGAGGAATTGAAATTGTCACTCCTAGCGAAGCCTGATTCTCTCCAGGTTTGTGCACGAAGTGCGAAACTGGCCGCAGAAAGCGCAGCCCCATGCGCCGTTTTCCTGTACAGATTGTCTTGCCAGCAATGGAATGCAAAGGAAAGCATTTTTGTGCTCTTTAGAGGCCTTCTCAGTGATTCAGCATTAGCTTCCTTTGTCTTCGCACCAATTCGCACCAATTAGGGGGTGTGTGTGGTGAAGGTAGTGACCCCTCACCAGGGTAGACAATCATTTGGGGGATTTCTACGCACTATAATACCCTTAGGACTTTCTAAATCTGTTTAATTTTACTGTTGATATATGTCTTTAGACTTAGCTCATGACCGTTCCCAGCGAGACGGGGGATCTCGCCAAATCTCTTGCTATACTGGGGCACCGATGTCTCGAGATTACTGTAAAGAACGTCACTCCATACTTCGATACTCAGCGGAACAAACTTGTCATATTGTTCTGTGATGATTCATGGGTAGGTACCTTTGGAAGTATGCATGAACTTCCGTTCAGTCGCAACAGCTGTACTCTGGTTTTCCGCTGGTCCGATCCTTGTGCACTGGCACCCAAGGTGGCACTAACTAGATTCAAGCGTCACAATCAACTCGATTAAAATGATCTTAAATAATCGAGTCACTAGGATACCATTATCGTAAAAGGGGAAAATAGACCGAGTGTTTGCGCCCGCACTCCAAAGAAGGAATGCTCGTTGGTTGGCTGGGAGGGAAGGGCTGCTGCGCTCGTGACCACAATGCACACAAACTGTACATAAAGGAATTATACGCTCGTAGCTGGAAAAGTGCATCGGGAAAATCGTAATTGAAGCATTTTTTAAAGTTGGGCAATGCCGGTTGAGTGCATTACTCGCAGGAGGCAAGGCGCTGCTCCACGGTAAACCGAGACTGTGTGCAAAATGCAGGAATGCGCTTGAGCGAGAGGAGCTGGAAATTTTCGCCTGAAGAACATCCTGGTTTCTTTGAATTTTTACTTACTATTCTTCACATCTTTACCGTAGCACTGGAAATTTCCTTGGGGCTGGCACCCATGAAAGAGGGCACTGAGACTATACAGCAGTGGCAACGCATTTGATCTCAGCTTATCAGCAGCGCATCACTTCAACGCAAAGCAGCAATAAAACGTCCCCACTTTTTATGATTTTCGATTCTATAGAAAATAATTGGCAATTATGCTCGAAATTTACTGGCTATGTGGGCCAGACCTCAGTGAGGGACCCGAACGCCTCCAACTGTAGATCTTGTGATGTTGAACAGGGCGTGTTTGAGCGCAACTTAGTGTACTCTACTCTACTTTTAAAAAGTAAAGCAGCGGTTTCTCATTGATTTGAGTATCAGCGGGGGTGTTTCAAGCCTTGAGACGCTCTCTCCGGCGCACTTCGGTCCGCTGCTTGTGCTTTTTCTTCGATCCTTTTTATTGGAAAGAAAAGCCCCTAGAACGGTGGATCCTGTGACAACTTCCAATGGATTAGAAAGCATGAAGAAGGAACAGCAGCCTCCTGAGATGGAAGTGCTCAATGAGTCGCACACTGTTAGGACCGCAGTTTCGCCATTTAGCTTCTTCGATCCTATAGTTCCAAGAAAGATCTCGGTCCCCACAGGAGTGGAGGCCCAAGTTAGTGTTGTAGTAGCCCTCGCTCTTGTGTTTTTAGTGGGCCTTTGCTCACAGTGGATCAAATCGAGGCGCACAGGAGCCACAAGCCTACGGCATTTGGCAGAGGAGAGCGACCTGTCGAACGGAGGTAGTGAGTCGGAGGAAAAGGACCTCTGCAGTGCCCTGGGGTCGCGCCCGACACACAGAGACGGTAAGCCAAGCTTTGGACCCCCAGACAGAGAGCAGGTGGCCCCTGAAGAGTCAGAGGGGCCTCCAGATGACATACTCCCACCGGAGCTTCCAAGAACAAGTCCAAAAAAACAGCCCCAAAACACACTGAAAACATTGAGTGGTCGTTCGACTAGTTCGCCGCGGCCTTTAGAAAGAGCTTATCAAACCCTTTCCGGAGCCCTATGCGTCGGATCAGCAGGGGAGTGCCC